TTTTTTTTTTTTTTTTTTTGGTAATCATTTGTCAACTGGAGTCACAAGATGACTTTCCCGTAAATCAGAGTTTTTTGTACTTTTGATTCCACGACTATAGTGACACTATCAGGATTGATCCGCGACTTTCAAACCTTACAATTTCAGTCCACGACTATTGTTTTTGTTAAAAAAATGGTCCTTTCGGCCAATTTCCAGTTAATTTTTCAACGGAGAAAGAATTTCTCATTTCAAGCAGGGATAAAATAGACATTTATATTGCCCTTGCGGTTGTAAAGTATGGATCTTTCGACTCCGATTCTGGAATGGTACATAACCCATTCTTTTAAGTTTTTGGCGACGTTATAAACCATGGTGGTGGCGCAGAGCTTAGACTTCCGGTTCGGCTAGGTGGAGCGGCAGGTTGTAAAACGCCACGATGGGGACGATGATCGGATTGGCTCCCACGATTTCCAGGGAGATTTTGATAAGCTGTTTTCCGGCGGGGAATTTCAGGCGGTTACAGCGAAAGACCTCTTGTATTGAGCTGGTGTCGTCCTCTGTCGTGATAGAGTCGTACGCCAAAAAATTTCACTGGAGTAGAGGCGGTTGCAAATTTTTCGAGATAGAAGTGAAATTGATTAGAGAAGACGAGAGAGTCAAAATCAGTTGCTTTGTCAGCTTTCTCCGACGAGAGCTTCTCGGATATTCGCACTTGAACAGTGATCAATCAAGAAATGGCAACACGCCGACGGGGATGGCCGACGAGGTTTCTCCATGCTCCAAGAGGCAGACGTAGGAGGCATCTTCGTCCCAAGACAGCGGATCAGAATAAGAGGTCAACAATGGTCCGAGATTGCAAGGGAAATGTAAATATCTATTTTATCCCTGCTTGAAATGGAGAATTTTTTTTGCGGCAAAAAATTTGCAGAAAATTGGCCTGAAGGACCATTTTTGCAACAAAAACAATAGTCGTGGACCGAAATTGCAAGGTTTGAAAGTCGCGGATCAATCCTGATAGTGCTATTATAGTCGTGAGACCAAAAGTGCAAAAAACTTCCGTAAATCAAAATATAATTTGATAGTAATTTTGATTGAGTCTTAAAAAAAAAAAAGTAAGTAAAATATCAGTCTAAATAAAGGTCTACAAAGTCAAAATAAAATGGTGTTTGTTATCTCCTTTAGAAGAAGAGTAGAAGCTAAAAAGATTAGAGTTGCTCCATAAAGAAGGCAATGATTTTGGATGACCGACGAAGGAGGGAACAACGTGGGCCACATCTGCACCTTCGCATTGTCTCCTACTCTTCAATCGCCAACCTCTTTGTCCTTATCCTATCATTATCATATCGCTACAACAATTTTCTCACCCTTTTACTATTTTCCAAAAATTACTTTAATTTCTCCACTGTTGGATGTCAATGTTTGCTCCAGGAAAATTACTATAAATATATATGCCATGTTTGTATATATGTGCTACTTGATTATTTCACTTTACCTTTGCATTCACTTTTACCAACTTTTTTTAAATTTTATCTGCATGTGCTCAAACAAGTTAAGTCAAAATAACTCCAAATTAGCGTTTGATCCACAAATTAATATATATATATATATATATATATATATATATATATATATATATATATATATATATGCTATAAAAATGACTTATTGATGAAAAAAAGAAGGAAAACTCAAATTAATGTATCAAATTAAATCAATTTTTTTAAAAAATTTTGTGATAATAATATTAATTGATACTAAAAATAATAAAATTCATATTTATGTGTGTGTATTGTACTTGAAATCAAGTGAGAATAGTCTAAAGTCTGCAATCTGACGACCTGTTCTTTTTTTTACTAGATATGAAAGACCATTGTTTTTGCCGAAGACGAAGGAGGGGGTGTACATAAATAAAATATTTTATTTTAATCACAAATCAAATTTTTAACCCTTATTCTTTTGTCTTATGAATGTTTATTTCATTTTTAGTCCTTAATCCAACCAAACACTAAAATACTAAAATACTAAAATACACTAAAATACAATTTTTAAACTTTATTCTTCTACAAATCAAATAATGGAATGAAATTCCTATTCTATTCCAAGGGGCGGACCTAGCATGGGGCAGTGGGGGCAGCTGCCCTCACTCACCCCACCCCATATATATCCCTTGTATATATATATATATACATACATACATACATACATACATACATACATACATACATACATACATATATATATATATATATATATATATATATATATATATATATATATATATATATATATTCATACATACATACATACATACATACATACATACATACATATAGTCACAGTTTTAATATAAATAAAAGAAAATAACAAAAATTAACAAAAGTTAAGTCAGTTGAGATGGTAAACCATGTGTGTGTGCTTAAGGAAGGGTGTGGGTTTGAATCCTATTTAATCCATTTGGCTTGAACACAGTTTTTACATATATATATATATATATATATATATATATATATATATATATATATATATATATATATATATATATATATATATATATATATATATATATATATATATATATATATATATATATATGAGATGTGTAATATATAATGTGTTTTTTATTAGAATTATTTTATCAAATTAATTATGTTTCATATTTTGTTATAAGTATTTTTATAAAGTTTTGATGTGTTTTATTTTTCGCTCATATCTAACAATATTTATGGCTAACTTCTTAAGTGTTTTTTTTTTTTTTTTTTTTTTTAAAGTTATCCCTTTTGTTTTAATGTTTCGCAGAAGCTCTTGATGCTTAACATTTTGTTATAAATTTATAGATATTTTTTATTATTTGAACTTTGCCCTCACTCAACCATTTTTCTAGGTCCGCCACTGTCTATTCCATTCATTATAGAATACAATTCTTATTCCTTCAAAATTTATTATGTAAATCTAACATAATGCTACTGTTTTTATTTTTTGAAGTACAATTTTAGAGTTTTTTTTTTTTTTTAAATTGAACTTATAAATATTATATTATGTGCGCACTCTTTTAAATTTTTTGAGTTATATTTTTAAATATTTCAGTGTCTACTTATCAAGTTTCTATTTTTTGAGTTATATTTTTAAATATTTCAGTGTGTACTTTTCAAGTTCCTATTATGAAGAAGGTGATATTACATGCCCATGGTTGAAAAAATTGCTAGGCGCTCCACGAGAGTTTAGGGGCGCCTAGGCTTCGATTAATCGACGCCTAGGCGCCCGTATATTTTTTATTTTATTTTTTTAAATTTTTTTTAAAACTTGATAATTATAAACTATTTAATACTTTAATAGTTAATAATTAAATATTAAATATTAACCTAAAAATATTTAGAGTTTGAACAATTTAAAGTTATTTCGCTCAAAACGATGTCGTTTTGAGTGAACAATAGCTAATCGACAGACTAAGCGACCTAGTCGGTGCTTAGGAGGCCTTGGCGGCGCTTAGGCGGCCTAATCGAACTCCTAAACCACCGTTTATAGTGATACGCTAGACAATCGACCAGCGCTTAACGCCGATTAATCAGTGTTTAAGCGGGATTTTTGCAACACTGTACATGCCATTACAAATATGTACCAGTCAATCAACTTTGGCTTTTCTTGTAGGAAAATACTACATGTACTCTCATTTCTTACTCTCAACTTTTACTCCCTCCCACAAATTCTTGATGTAGACATTTTCTGGGACCCACATGCATGATGAAAATAACCAATCTTTGTTTGCCATGTCATGAAGTACAAGTGAGGGAGTAGAATTTGGGAGTACATGTAGTAGAACTCTTTCTTGTATCTACTTTGGCCAACTTTTCTTCCATTTGCTGCTCTAGTGGAATTTCTTAAACAAATACGGAGTAGTATAATTCCCTTCATCCACTTTCCCCTATCACCAAGAGGGAAACTTCACTATGTATTGATTTACACTAAAATGTTATAAGAGCATTTCCAATAGCAATGACTCTTTTTGTGGTTTTTTAGATGCCAATTAAGAAGGGAGGAGGGAAAGAGAATAGGAAAAAGAGAAATATAAAAATAAAAAAGCAGGTCATACGCGAAAAAAAAAAAAAAAACGAATGAAGTTCTGGACGCGCCAGCAGGCGCATGCATGCACTGTACGCGCCCGTGCAAGCCACGCACACCTGTAGAGCCTTTTTTTTTTTTTTTTTTAAACCTTTTTTCTCTCCTGATGAGCTCCACAAAAAACCAACCTTGCAAGAGCACCCAACTCTTCTCTCAACTCCACATAAGTCATGTTGTCTTCAAAAACTGTGAAAAAACCATTCATGTAGATGTTCTAACAATAGCTATTAGCTTCAACTTGAATCTACTCATTCTTCATAGCACTTAAAAGAGTTAATTCCATTTTTTGTCTTAGATTTATAGGTAACAGTTCACTTTTAATCCTTTTTTATCAAAACATCCCCTTTTGGTCCTAATATTATTGTGATATGACCAATTTTGGTCCTCTATCAACAAAATCGTTGACATTTCGTTAAGTAGAAGGACATTTTGATCTTTTTAATACAAAGTGTGTTGACCCGTTATATATTTTATGTTTATTTTTTGAAAATACTCATAATTGAAGAGCTAAATGCTCTTGTATTTAAGCAATTTCAATGACTTTTTTGATAGAGGACCAAAATTAGTTATGTCACAATAATACTAGGACCAAAAAGGGATGTTATAATAAGAAAGGATTAAAAGTGTATTGCCACCTATAAATCTAGGATAAAAATGGAATTAACTCCACTTAAAAAGTCCATGAATCACCATAGCCATGTGCTTCGATACATCCATAGAGTACCAACAGAACACCCCACAACTACCTGTGGACTACAACACAAGAAATATAATGCTACATGCAAATCTAAATTGAAGTTACAATAACAACATATCAATGAATAATTGATTAGAATTAAAATTTAACCAACCCCATATCAAGGACATGCTTGAAACCTTCTTCCTCTTTTGGCATATCTCAACATCTTCAAAGGAAGCACATCCCCACATCAAGAATGAAACTCAAGTGCACTTTCCAATGACAAATACACTACCACTAAAAGACATCTCAAATCTCAAATAACAAAATAAGGGAAATCACCTACAATTTTTTTACTTCACACCAATGAATATGGGAGATGAAGGGGGTTTTATACTCTAAGAAAACAGGATTTAGTGAAAGATATTATCAATGTGTACCTACAAATTTTTACTTCGCGCCAATGAATATAGGAGATGAAGGGGGTTTCAAGATTTCGATGAGTTCTGCAAGAACTCAACAGAGAACCCCATATTGCAGAGTCTGCCTTCATCGGCATGCTCCTTATGAATTACCAAGCTTGGTTCACATTACCACACTTTGAATACATTTCCATCAGTGCATTGCATACACAAGTCCTCCTCAATAACCCATTTTTAGCTGCATAAAAGTGAATCCATTCTCCTACCTCTAGTGCCCCCAGGTGTGCACAAGCTGGCAAAACTGCAACTAAACTGATCCAATCGGGTTTCACCCCAGCCATCTGCATTCTCCTAAAAACATCTAATGCATCCCCAAAACACCCGATTTTCGTGTAACCAGAAATCATAGTTGTCCAAGAAACAATATTCTTGTCAGGCATCTCTTCAAATAAGGTTCTTGCCCTTCTAACTTTACCCAACTTTATGTACCCAGAAATAAGACTATTCCAAGAAATCACATCTCTCATAGCCATTTCCTCAAACAGCTTATGTGCTTCACTTATTTCCTCACACTTAACATACATATTTAGCAATGAATTTTCTATCACATTATTGGACTCCAACCCAAATTTACATACATGCCCATGAATTTGTTTACCCAAATCTGCGCTTAAAAAGCCTCCAGAAGACCTAATAACAAATGGATACGTATATGAATCAGGAAAAATGGGCTCTTCACATTTAAGTTGTCTCATCATCATTGTATACACATCTATGCAGGATACATACATATGCTTCTGCGTGTAGGCTCTGATCATAGAATTGAACAAATATATGTTTGGCTCTTCAACATGCTTGAATAGCAAACTAGCATATTCTATAGCCTCAATTTTATCACAAAAAGCTATCATTTTTGCCACCAAGAAACTGCTTTGTGTTAATGAAAACTTAACCACTTGGGAATGTATTTTCTTCATGTGGGCCATGTTCTTACTATTTCTCAAAATGGGCATCAACATATCTACTAACCCTTTGATTGTCAAGACTCCAGTTTTTGTGGCCATTATTTACTTCACTGATCTTTGAGGAACTCTACTTCTCTTTTGTCAGTGATGTGGGTAGTACACCATCACAATACCCTAAATCATCATATCTCATGATCTGTATTCACATTAGACATACACGATATTTGTATGTACAGCCAGAGAGAGATGGAGTATAAGTACATAGTTCTTTGAGAATCTCTCTGGGAATGGAGGAAACTTCTCTGAGCTGGAGTGGTAGAATCCACCATCTGCAAACATCATGTTAGTAAAAACAGATTTCAGATTTCAATAAGTTTCTGTGAAATATAATTAGGAAGAAGATCAAAAACCTTACATTCATCTATGAACCCTTGAATTTTAGATTGAGAATGATAAGTGATGGAATAATATAATATGCGTGCCATATTATTATTATTATTATTATTATTATTATTATTATTATTATCTATAATAATAATAATGTTAGTCAAAGAAGAAGAAGTCATGCATGGCAAGAAAATAGGAATGTTATTGGCCTTAATATTAGGGAAGATTGCAACTAGAGGAAGGACCTTATATAAAGGCTTTGGGATAAGACAAAGGGGCTCTCTCTCTCTGCTACATACATGCTCTTTTCGTCATTCATTCCATGGCCATGGCTGGCCAGGGCTATCTATGTACATGTACCACAATTGCCACAAATATAATAAAAGACTTTCGGCTTGGCTTAGCCCAAAAAGGCTCGTGGTTTTTACCGCTTTGGTTTCCACGTTAAATCCTTGTGTACTTGTTTATTGATTCCCTACAATATACCCCTATTATCATTTTAATCTCATATTTGTTACAATTATTTATTCATGCGGGTTAATTAATCCGGACCCCCGGTTTAATTAATTCCATCATTGGTGCTCTTGTTGAGAGCGGCTGTACAAGCTTGAGCGTGCTCTCCTTAATCAACGTTTCTTATGAAACCAACACTTCAACAATGGCAAGATCAAATCCCATTTCAATAGCCCTTCGAGCGTACAATTATATGACAACCATGCCAGAATAAAAGTTCCATGGACGCCCGACGTAGGACGCAGTGGAGTCTCCAAACGCCATCACCTAAGGCTCTGCTCCGCCGGGTCTCTCGAACACGATCGCACTGTCCCTAAAGATGAAGCCCGACGTGCCGATGATCTCGTATTCCCGATAAGACTGCTGCGTCGAGTGGACATGGAACATGTCTCGATAAATACGGATCGCACGTCCAAATAACGCGGCACAGACAAATTAGAATCCAATCTGAATGCCACTTGCATAGGATAATACTATACGTGCTGAAGGTTTTCCTGCTCAAATCTTGTAATGCACACATACATTACCATAATTACTATATATTTATTGTGTAATCGCCGAAAGTTGCCGATCGGAGATGGCATGGATCGGATGTCACCATTATTTCTTGCAACCCAACTTTATCTACCGATCTTCATTCCCGTAACCATAAAACCAGTGTGTTACGACCCGGAAGTTAGAGCAGAGTCAAACGGTGTCATTTTACAATTAGGGCTCCAATAAGTCGTTTTGCAATTAGGGCTCGAATAAAATTGGTCACTTATTCAAACGTCGTCGTTGGAAGCCGAAGCCGTTGGAGGTCGTTTAAATTGAATGAAGCGACGTCGTTTTAACCTCAAAGGATCCAACGGTTGTGGGCTGCTGAGCTTGAGATCCGAAGTTTGTTAGAATGGATTTTTGGATGTATTAGCTAGACTTAGTCTATTTATTTGGTTGTTTTTACTTTCAGAATTTTTTATACCCTTTATTGAATTGAAATCAGGAATCTAATTTCCTTCCTTCCCTCTAGACCTCTTTCTTCTTCTCTTCTTTACCTATTTCTTCTTCTCTTCTCTACCTCTATCTGTTTCTTCTTCTTTTCTCTATCTCTGCTTCTGTGTATTTGGTTTTTAATCTCAGGGTTGTGACATTTGGTATCAGAGCCCATCTTGGGAGCTCCAACTACGGTAGAGGACCGGGTGAGCAGACTTGGGGTTAGGGTTTTTGAGCAAGACAATCAGCAAAAATGAAGGATTCCAGTCAGGATTTTAAGGAATTAATGGAGGCATGGAAAGTTGAGATTTTCGAGGAGTTAAGGTTACACCATGGGTATATCATTCCTGCTTATCATCCTTCTTCAGCTCATGGTAGAAGCGTTAGTTCAGCTCCGTCGATTCCGGCAGCTGAAGAAGTTGGGGATCCCGCCGGTGAATCGGAAGGGGAGAAGCTGAACTCACGTATTGGGGTGTTGCCGGATATGATGAAGAAAGCCAAGGGTGGTGGTCTGGACGCGGCTGAGACATTCATCTGTCGGAATCCTTCTTCAGTTCATCACCAACCTGCTTCTCCAGTGATGAATCTAGTAGAGAGAGGCTCCACAGTGCAGATACCTTCAATGGCTTCCCAGCAGAATCAGTTGTTCCCACCCTCTGTGCAACTTGAAGCCGGCAGAAGTGACAGATCTGCTCCGTTGATTCTAGCGGCTGAAGAAATTAGGGACCTCGCCGGTGAATCGGAAGGGGAGAAGCTGAACCCAGGTGTTGAGATTATTGAAGCTGCCAAAACAGCAGCAAAAAGCAGTTTTGATGTGAAGAATGCAGTTGCGGAGTCTGAATCTTCCAACGAGAATGAAACTGAAGCATCGGTAGTTGAGGTTGAGGTAATTGAAAATGCTATTCCTTGCTTAGTTGATAATGGCATGATTAATGATAGTTCACCTCCTCTTGATGAATTGGAGGAACTTAGTGATGTCAATGAAGGAATTGATGTTGAATTTACTACTAAAAATGAAGAAGTACACTTAGTTGCAATGCCAAGTAAACAGAAGAAATTTCCCCATTTCTGGTGTTTCTCTATGTCGCGTGGGTTATATGGTTCATGTTTGGGAATGCTAAATATGAGGTGTTTATCTACTGTGTTTAATCTTGATATGTCTGACACCATATATGTAAGAGTATATGAAACAAGGATGGATCTTCTTAGGGTAGTGATTGTTGGACCTCAGGGCACTCCTTATCATGATGGTCTTTTCATTTTTGATGTCCTGCTTCCTTCCACATACCCAGATACACCACCAGTGGTTTACTATTATTCCAGTGGCCTGAGACTGAATCCTAATCTATACGAGTGTGGTAAAGTCTCCCCCAGCTTTTTGAACACTTGGACTGGTAAGGATACTGAAAAGTGGCAGCCGAATACATCAACCATACTGCAAGTGTTGGTCTCTATACAAGGTTTAATTCTGAATGAAAATCCTTCTCAACACCTCATTAGCTTGGAGTCTGAGTGGAGTGATCACAAGTACCATCTGATTTCCATTGTTAAGCTTGAGGTAATGGATTATGTTGATTCTTATTTAGTTCCTAATGACACACCTAAGAGTAATCTACTATCTCTTGAAGAAATTAATGTTAGAATTACGGCTAAAAATGTGGGTATGCATGTGGTGATGAACTATGATGAAAGTGTTGGGGTGGAATATGTGATTTTAGGTGGGAAATTTTCAGGACTGAATATTGAATATGCATCTAATGATGGAATAGTTTTAACTACCTTGAGAGGAGTGGTGAGAGTTGTGGAACCATATTACTTCAATGTCAATCACAAAATACCATGGTGGAGTGAATTTCCATTTGATCTGGGAGGAATGCTAAAATTATAAGTTTCTTGTTGCTGCAAGTTTAAACTATTATTGCTTGTGTTGCTGTAATGTTATTTGTTTGACTTGGTATGAGGGAGATGAAAGGGGTGATAAAAGCTCAATGAATTGGGAGAGTATTTGACTGCAATTGTGGGTATAATTTGTGCTCTGTTGGGGTTGATTCATGTGAAGGGATGGCATAGGAACTTTAATTTTTCATTGAGAAGTGCACTTACTGTTTTCAAATTGCTGTGCTTTGGCTGCCATCCTAGAAGGTCTTCTAGTAGTTATCAGTTATCACATTATGCTAGGGCTCTTGGTACGTTAAAAAGCTTGGCAGTGGTCTGTAAGAATGGAAGAATTCGGTGGGTAAAAAGATGGGACTACAAATGTCAGTAAAGGAGTAATATACCATATTTTCCTATCATACATCAGATGCTGTACACTGGAGATAGAGATGCAGCCACAATGAGTTGGGAATTATTATTATGGGCAAGGCCCCAATGAAGCCACACAGAATTCGGATGACACATGCTCTTCTTGCACATTATGGACTTCTACAGCATATCCCTAATATTATTCTGGTGACCAGATAGTAGACTGATCTGAGCTGAATTATCCTTGGAGGCATAAGGAGGGTTCACCTAACTTGGTGGACCTCTGATCTATTGAAATCTGAGCAGAAGTGAATGGAAAAGAAAGTGGAATGGAATGTGATCTGCATCTGGGGAGTCTGATCGGCAGAGCTACGGAATGGGAAGGCATGCGAATGAAGCCTTGAGTGCAGCAACAAAATGAAACTTTTAAAGTGGAGTTTTGATGTTGCCATAGAGTGGATCCTTCCATAGGAGATGACACTCTATGTAGTTGTGTTAAGAAAGAAGAATTGCAGATTCTACTGACCAGAGGTTGCAGCTAAAACTTTCTGAGGCTTGATTGAGTGGAACTTTAATTGAAGGCCTTTTAATGGAATTAATATAAACTGAAAGGGATGAATGCTGTGAATGCTACACAGATCTTGGTAGATGCAGCACCACTCTCGAAGCTACATATCTGCAATTCTTTGTTGCTGTGAGAAGCTGGGCTGGGCAGCAAATCAGAGGAATACACTCATGGTGGCTGAGATATGGTTATGGATGGGCTTGAATGTCTCTTATTTGCAGAAGCAAATTTGGGTTTATGTAGAAGGGGTCCATGATGCTTTATGGTCTTATGGCCAATTTTGCTAAATATAGCAGCAGAATAATAATGCAAGAATTCTCCAAAGTCTGAGTTGGTACTGCTGTGTAGATTTGAGGTTTAATTAAGCTGGCCGAATGTGTGTTGGATCTGTTGAAATAGAATTAAGCACCAAAGCTGGGCTGGGTGGTCCCTTCCTCATTTCCACAGTACCATCAAGCATTCGAATGCTCTCATCCCTAATATCACAAGGCAATTTCCAACAATTGATCCTTGGGGACAAGGATCGGTTAAAGGGGAAGGTAATGTTACGACCCAAAAGTTAGAGCAGAGTCAAACGGTGTCGTTTTACAATTAGGGCTCCAATAAGTCGTTTTGCAA